CCCAGCATGCTTCACTGCTAGTAAGTGTCATAGCCCCTCCAGTTTCTGCCAAGTTTTGGTGGCTCTTTATTTCCTTCAAAAAGTGGTCCTTGCATTTTTAATAACATTTTGTCTAGAGTTTATCATTGGTTCAAAACAAAGCTACCTTCTAGGATCAACTTCATAAGCTTAATATAGAAATTTGATAACCATCTTAAACCTTTCTGAATCAAGACAAAGTGAAAGCAAGTCAGTGTGAGGGTAGAACCAAGAGGCTGTCTGACCCTTATGTCGCTTTCTCTCTCTGAGCCTTTATTCACTCAGCTGGAGAAGGCTACCTCATAGGGTGGTGGGGTCACACAGCAGGTGCTCCCCACGTGGGAGTCCCTTCCCTCCCTTCTCCCTCCATAAGGTCACCCAGGTGCTGCTGCCTACAGACCAAGCCTTGCACCAGAATGCAGTGCTGCTCCCATCTCTCTCTTTTGGGCCTCTCCCCACAATGTCAGTCTCTTACCATCTTCTGGTCTTAACACCCAGCCTCTTCCATCCTCAGGCCACCACTTTTGGAATCAGGCCTGCTTATAGGTCTGAGTCCTTCTCAGCTCTGTGTTTCTAGCTCCTTATAAAGAATATAACTATTGGGGACATGCATACATTCATTCAACTGATATTACTGAGCACCTACTATGTACTGAGCGCTGTCCTAGGTGCTGGAAGTCAGCAATGAACAGAGAGAGAATATCTCTGCTCTTATATTCAGTGGAGGGGCAGGTGCTAGAAAATACACAGTGTGGAAAGATGGTGATAAGAGCAATGGAGGATAAAAAGTATGGACAGGTAGATGGAATCCAGGAATGAGGGGACTGCAGTGATGTTTTTAAGAATGTTTCTTTTTATCTTTCTTTTGTTTCTATAAATATATTATCTTTAAAAACATTAAATATAGTTCAAAAAGAGGTATAGAAGTGGACTTCCTGACAAAATATTTAATAAAATATGCCACAATAGGATAAAGTTGCCAGGAGAGAAAAATTTACCACTCATCATGTTGCTGATTGTAGCAGACCATGAGGTCAGCTGAAAAGCTCAAAAGGAACCAAAGAAAAATTTTTTAATATTTTGTGTAGGGAAGAGGCCATTGTTTTAAATAGTAAGGCCAGGAAAGTTGACATTGTGAAAAAAGACTGAAATGGGTGAATCACACAGATATTTGGGGAAGAATATTTGGTCAGAAGGATTAGCAAGTGCAAAGGCCCTGAGGCAGGATCATGCCTGGCTGTTGGAGGGATGGTAAGAAGTACAGTGTGGCCAGAGCAGAAGCATCAAGCTGAGAGCAGGAGGAGAGGGTTATGAGTGTTCAGACTGCTGAAATTTCTTGGATCATTTTAAAACCCACCCTCAACCCCTCTCTCAACACTTAGAGACTGGGAGAAGGGGAGGAATCTGCAGAAGAGA